TAAACCCTAAACCCTGAACCCTAAACCCTAAACCCTCAACCCTGAACCCTATAAGTCCTTGATCCCGCCAAAGTCTTCAAGCAACAGGAGCTTCACGTAGCAGAGAGGCCACCTACTGAAGGCCTTCATGTTCTAGACCTTTACACAATGTGTACCTAATGTTTTCTTTATACATATATACATATATACATATATACATATATACATATATACATGTATACAGTTTTTTACATATATACATTTCTACATATATACATACATACATACATACATACATACATACATACATACATACATACATACATACATACATACATACATACATACATACATACATACATACATACATACATACATACATACATACATACATACATACATACATACATATATACATGTATACATATATACATATACACATATATACATATCTACATGAACATATATATACATATATATATATATATATGCATATATGCATATATACATATATACATATACACCTAATTACATATACACATATATACATATATACATATACGCATATATACATATATACATATACACATATACACATATACATATATACATACAAACATATATGTACATATATATATATATGTATATATGGTTCCGTGTCCCGTGTCGGTACCCCCCCCGCTCCCCCACCACCCCCCCCCCATGGTATCCCCCCCCCCCCCACCCCCGCGCCCCACCACCCCTAAGCCGTAACCTTAAACCCTAAACCCTAACCCCTACCCCTAAACCCCTAAACCCCTAAACCCCTAAACCCCCCCGAAACCCGAAAAAACCCCGAAACCCCGAAACCCCTAAACCCCTAAACCCTAAACCCCTAAACCCCTAACCCCCCCCTAAACCCCTAAAACCCCTAAAACCCCTAAACCCCTAAACCCTAAACCCCTAAACCCTAACCCCTAACCCCTAACCCTAAACCCTACCCTAAACCCACCCAAACCCCACCACACTACCCCAAACCACAGGGGGGCGGGGCGGGGACCCTAAACCCTAAACCCTAAACCCTAAACCTTGGTGGGGGGGGGGGTACCATGGGGTGGGGGGGGGGGGGTGGGGGGGGCAGCGACGCTGCACCATATATATGGTCCGAATGCACGCAAGGGTGTACAAATTTTCTCAGTGAGGATCCGGCCTCGGCCCGATACAACCCCAAGCACTACTTTAAACCCCTAAACCCTCATCCTAAACCCTCAACCCTAAATTCAAAACTCAAAACCCAAAACCCAAAACCCAAAACCGTAAACCCCAAACCCTAAACACTAAATCCTAAACCCTAAACCCTAAACCCTAAATTCAAAACCCAAAACCCAAAACCCAAAACCGTAAACCCCAAACCCTAAACACTAAATCCTAAACCCTAAACCCTAAACCTTAAACCCTAAACCCTAAACCCTAAACCCTAAACCCGAACCCTAACGCCTTCGACCCAACGTAGCCATCCACGTCGCAGATGTGGCCGGCAGCGCACCTCGGAAGCCGCTCTGAGGCTCTTAGGGTCTCGAGGGTTTAGGGTTTAGGGTTTAGGGTTTAGGGTTTAGGGTTTAGGGTTTAGGGTTTAGGGGCTAAACGTTTTGTCAAGGGTTTGGGGCAAGGGTTTCGGACCTGGGGCTTAGAGATTGTAGCTTATCAGCACCTTGCTGTAGGTTACAACTAGTTCTTGCGGCATAGGCTACTGCACCTATGCCTGTATTTCGGAATTCCCATGAAAGGACCCAAAACCCCGAAAACACCTCAGCTTTGTGAGGTTTGGGGCCTGTAACCCTAAACCCTAAGCCCTAAACCCTAAACCCTAAACCCTAAACCCTAAACCTCCTCTATGGACCAAAGACTGGCCACCTGCTCCACAGCCTCTGAGAAGCTGTCCTGCTGCATCCCGTAGCTCTTGGGTTTAGGGTTTAGGGTTTAGGGTTTAGGGTTTAGGGTTTAGGGTTTAGGGTTTAGGGTTTAGGGTCTAGGGTCTAGGGTCTAGGGTCTAGGGTTTAGGGTTTAGGGTTTAGGGTTTTGGCAGGCTTCAGCATGTTGCTGCTCGTGAACCTCTGCCAAACTTTCTCGCTGCAAACTTGAGCATAATCTCGCACCCTCTGGAAAGCGCGCCGGATGTGATCAGCATCTTGAAAGCCAGCTAAACGCAGTCCCATCTCGTGTAGCTCGCCATCTTTGGTCTCATGGCGGACCATGATCTTCGTGTTTTGCTGCTCCCTCCACACTCGGCAGCGCTTCTCTGCCTCGAAGATTTCCCCCAACAACAGCTTAACTCTTAGCTTCGTCAATACGAAACTAGAGGAACCCCATAAAGTGCTAAAGTGCTAAAGTTGTAGTAAAGTCCCACCTAGTATAGTATAAATGTTCATGACTTTGCGGGCAAGGTCATCAATGTAGCAGGGCACGGTCATAAAAATGGTCAAGGTCATGAAAATGAGCGGGCAAGGTCATAAAATTAGAGGGCAAGGTCATAAAAAATTGGCGGGCAAGATCATGAAATTAGCGAGCAAGGTCATAGAATCAGTGGGCAAGGTACTCCCTACCCGCCCCGCCCCCGACCTCCAGGGTTTAGGGTCAGAGGATTTCGGGGTCAGGGCCCATCGGGTACAGGGTTTCGGGCTCAGGGCCTAGGGTTTAGGGTTCTACGTGTTTAGGGTTCAGGGTGCAGGGTTTAGGTTTTTGGGTGCTTTCAGGGTTCAGCATCGAGGGTTGGGAGTTTCTCGGCCCTACGGGTGCCTGGGGTGTAGGGCCCAGCGCCTAGGGTTTCAGGTTCGGAGCCTAGACTGTCGGGCTCAGCATTTGTGGATTGAGAGAGCTGAATATGTTCTTAATGTTATGGGATTCTCTGGGTGGGCGGGCATTCCTCCGTTTCACAAACACATTGCTTGACTGGTGAAAGCTAGTACATGAGATGCTGAACCCGAAACCCTAAACCCTAAGCCCTAAACCCTAAACCCTAAACCCTAAACCCTAAACCCTAAACCCTAAAGCCTAAAGCCTAAAGCCCGAGACCTGAAGAGACGAAGTTGCGGCAAAAGTGCGGCTGCGTGGGGCCCAGCTGCGCGGTGGGCACGGAAAGAACCTGGGCAGCGAACAATTGGGGTTTAGGGTTTAGGGTTTAGGGTTTAGGGTTTTAGGGTTTTAGGGTTTTAGGGTTTTAGGGTTTTAGGGTTTTAGGGTTTCGGGTTTAGGGCTTAGGGTTTAGGGTTTAGGGCTTAGGGTTTAGGGTTTAGCAACTTGAGGGGCAAAGGGCTGAGGGTGCAGGGGTCTTCTAGATGTGGCACCATGGGCTTTCCAGCCCAATGCCGACTCTGGGAGAACCCAGAAGTGCGAACCCCCAATCCCTAAACCCGAAACCCGAAAACCCTAAATCCTAAACCCCTAAACCCTAAACCCGAAACCATACATCCGAAACCCGAACCCTTGGGGCCTAAACCCAAAATGTAGTTCCACGGTCCCTTAGGAAGGGGCCTTTAAAACGGGACCCCCTATATACCCCTTAAATGGCCTATACCATGCTCCAGAACCCTCTAAGGGAGGCAAGGGACCACACTAAGGGCCCATAACCCTAAACCCTCAACCCTAAACCCTAAACCCTAAACCCTAAACCCTAAACCCTTCGACCTAAACCTCAGACCCGAAGCCTAAGGCCCCCGCGACCCCTGAATCGGCTAGGCCAGTTCTGGCTTCTCACGTTCCCCCCAACAGGGTTTAGGGTTTAGGGTTTAGGGTTTAGGGTTTAGGGTTTGGGGTTTAGGGTTTAGGGTTTAGGGTTTAGGGTTTAGGGTTTAGGGTTTAGGGTTTAGGGTTTAGGGTTTAGGGTTTATAATATAATTACAAAAGGACTACAAGGGAATACGATGAGGACTAGAAGGGAACACTAGTAGTAATTAGTCCGACCACTGCTTGGAGGTTCATGGTACTTGTTAACGTATTATAACTGTACTCATGACCCGTTTCTAAGCACCTTAAGTGCCGTAATATGGTTATACGTACAGTTCTAAGTACAGTTATAATTGCTTAATGCGTACCCTGAACCTCCCAGTATATTAACCCTCCCCAAATCCGAAGCAGACCACTGCCGAAGAAGCTTTCGAACTCGGGCCAGCATGTTAGGTTTGGGCTTTTGGCATGGTGGGGCTTAGGTTTAGGGTTGAAGGTTTAGGGTTTAGGGCTTAGAGTTTAGGGCTCAGGGTCTAGGGTTTAGAGCTTAGAGTTTAGGCTTAGGGTCTAGGGTTTAGGATTTAGTGTTTAGGGTAGTGAAGCCACCTCTCCCCCAGTTGCAGCAGGGGCGCCACGGGCAGCAGGACAGAACAAAACCGAAATACGCCAGCCATCATGGGTTACAGCTTCAGGTCTCTGCCGATATCTGGAGGTCTTGAACCACAGCAGCTCCCAAAACTGCCTCCACAAGAAGCACTGCAGACGAGGCCACAACATGCACACACATGTCAGTGACAGTCACCCTAAACCCTAAACCCTAAACCCTAAACCCTAAACCCTAAACCCTAAACCCTAAACCCTAAACATGCCCACTTGCTTCAATGCCCAAGTGTTAGGCAGTTTTCCTCTGACGCGCGCTTGAGTCACTCGGCGTCGGCGTTTTGTATCTCACCCCACTTCTTCTTTGCCGAGTCCACTCCCTTGCTGACCTGCTTTGCCACCACTTGCCAGCTTGGCCTGTACCTTGTGGACCAAATGAACCCTAAAAAGTGGACCAAATAAACCGTAAAATTAGGGTCATGTACCCTATGCTGTTATAATCGCTATTAGGGCATGTGAACCATAAACCCTTTTAAGGCTCATTCTTTTTAAGGTTCATTTGGACTCCAAGGTGCTTCTTGTTTTCTTTCAAGCTCCTCAGCTTCGCCAGCTGGTCTGCAGTCCAGTCTTCTTCCTCCTCGGGTGCCCTTAAAACATTACAGTAATAAAAGATGATCTTTATTCCATATTGGGTTTAAGTGCCTGAAAACTGTAAAATGTTACCCAACTATGACAAAGTCCTCGGGTGCCCCAGCCCCAGCTGCGTCGGGCGCGCCTCGCGGCTCGGGAGCGACGTCGCCGTGCGGGCGCTTCGCAGGCCCGGGCGAGCCCCGCGGCTCAGGCGCGACGTCCGGGCGCGGGAGCTTCCTTGCGCTGGGCTCAGATTTCGCGCGGCCCATGGGCGGGGTGTGCCTGCCTGGCTGGTCAAGCACGGGTTGCCGCTTCAAGGCCAAGTCTGCCAAATGCCAGTACTCGTCCCTCAGCGGATCTTGGAATGCCGCCTCCGGAAGCGGAAATCCCAGCTGTTGCAGGAAGACTCGGGACAACGCCGGAGTCTGATCATAGGCTTTCCCGATGCAGAAGAGGACAATGGCATAGCGCCGCCCTTCGAACTCCATGGTGCAATGAACCCTGTTGCCATCAAACTGCTGCAGGCTGTGGATATCAAGCTTCTGGCCGCGCAGCTTGCTGCCTCGCTCGCCAATCGCACGGATGTCCTCACACAGCTCGTACTCGTCGGGCCCCTGTGGATCTTCAACGAAAGTCTCTCCTCCCGTCCAATCTCCAAGTCCGAAGATCCAGCTTAGCCCCTTGTTGTTGGCATCTCTGTGGGGCCTGGTTCTGAGATCCTTGGTAGCCCAGTAACCAGATTACAATAGGGGCACCCTTTTTTGGGGTTGGCTATTTTGTAAGGGAGCCCATAACCCAAAAAAAAAAAGTAAAGGGTACCCCACTGGGCTACCAAGGCTCTTTTGTCAGCTGGAGGGACGTGGCTTCCAGTTGATGGCCGCCTCTCGACAGGCCGCTGACATACTTCCACAGATCCATGACCAGCCCGCGATACCTGAACGTATCCGTGGTTGGCATCGGTATTCCACGCCAGTGCGCCCCAGTAACGAGACCAAGAACCTTTTGGAAACTCTTACGCTCACCAGCTGGCCGGACGTTTTGCCTGGATGTGCTTTCCCACTCCTTGTCCGGGATTCCTTCAAGGACGGCTAGAATCTTCTGCTTGAGCTCATCCGAGCCCACTTCAGCAGATGTGCTCGGAACTGAGTCATACTCCGAAACTTCAGTTGACATCCTGGACATCTGGTGCCATGCAAATCCTTACTAGCCCAGTCACCATACTATAATCAGGGCACCCCTTTTTTGGTTTAGTTACGTTGTAAGGGAACCCAGAACCAAAAAAAAAATGGCAAAGGGTACCCACTGGGCTACCACGAATCTCTTGCCGAGGCTGCAGCGCTTGTGAGGCTGTAAGAGTCGATCTTGCGAAGCTTGAGTGTCCGCAGCCGGCGGCGTGTCTGATGGCACGGCGCTGTCCTTCAAAAGGTTTGCGACTTGAGGCTTCGAGGTTAGGGTTTTGGGGCTTAGAGTTTGCGATTTTGGGTGCAAGGTTTGGGCTTGTGACTTGGATTTAGGGTCTCGGGTCTAGAGTCCAGGGTTTAGGGTGATGGGTGTACGGTGAATTTTGTGTTAAGAAGTTTTTTGAAGCAAGAAATTAGACCCATTCTGTCCTCGTCGATGGCTTGCTGGGATATCTCCAATTCCAAAGGATCGGGAACATGTCCATAATCATAAAGCTCATCCTCCAGATTGGGATCTGAAGGAGGGTCCAGCTGCGTGACAACGTCCTGCCCCTCCTCGTCTTCAACCCTCCCGCCAGGAGCACCAGTGGTGTCGCGCACCTCCAGCTTTGAACCACCGGAACCACTGGCTTCGATCTCTTCTCTTGCTTGCCGCGCCAGCTGCATAATAGTATCATGTTTGGCCTGGCATTAAGAGACTGCCTGGAGCAGGCGGGAATGCGCCTGCTCGCCCTCCAGCATCGCCGCGTCTAGCTTCCACAGCATCTGATGCAGCTGCACTTGGCCAGAAGCCATCACAGCGACAAGGGTCGCGTTTGAGAGTCTAGGTGATCTGGTTGTCTACAATATCAGGGGTACCTGATTGGAGTCCTTACTTTCAGGGGATCCTACTATGTGGGGGTCCATATGAGGGTCCATCTGGGTTTGGGGGCTTACCGGCTTGGGGTTTCGGGCTCAGAGTCTGAAAGTCTCAAGCCCATCGATCTACCCTGCTGGAGAGTACAATCGAAGGATGCCCTGGCAGACGCAGAACCAAACCCTAAACCCTAAACCCTAAACCCTAAACCCTAAACCCTTCCACCTACGAGCCTTGAGTCACCAGTGCCTAACCAGCCCAGGGTTCGAAGGCCTCGCTAGTTCAGGAGTAGTGAGGTGTTTACGTGGGGCCAACAGTGCCCTAAACTGGGTTCGGACCTGCTAGAATGAAGGGGTAGGTTCTGTAAAGCTTTAACTTCTATGATCCTCCAAGTAGGCTTATAAGTCTGTGTTTAGGGTTCAGAGTTCAGGGGTTTAGGGCTTTTTTGCTTTTTGTGTTTGGGGGGGGGGGGGGGATAGGGTTTGGGGTTTAGGATTTAGGCTTTAGGGTTGAGGGTTTATGGTTTCGGGTTTCGGGTTTCGGGTTTAGGGTTTAGGGTTTAGGGCTTAAGGTTTAGGGTTTAGGGTTTAGGGTTTAGGGTTTAGGGCTTAGGGTTTAGGGTTTAGGGGACTTGGGTTTAGGGCTTAGGGTTTAGGGTTCGGGCTTAGGATTTAGGATTTAGGATTTAGGGTTTAGGGTTTAGGGTTTAGGGTTTAGGGTTTAGGGTTTAGGGTTTAGGGTTTAGGGTTTAGGGTTTACGGTTCAGGGTTTAGGGTTTAGGGTTTAGGGTTTAGGGTTTAGGGTTTACGGTTTACGGTTTGGGGTTTGGGGTTTAGGGTTTAGGATTAGGGTTTAGGGCTTAGGGTTTAGGGTTTAGGATTTAGGGTTTAGGGTTTAGGGTTTAGGGTTTAGGGTTTAGGGTTTAGGGTTTAGGGTTTAGGGTTTAGGGTTTAGGGTTTAGGGTTTAGGGTTTAGGGTTTAGGGTTTAGGGTTTAGGGTTTAGGGTTTAGGGGGCTTGGGCTTGGGGACTTGGGGACTTGGGTGCGCCAAAAAGGCCCCCTAAACCCTAGACCCTAAACTCTAAACCCTAGACCCTAGACCCTAAACCCTAAACCCCCAGGTGGCTGCACCTGACTGCACGACCTCCTTGGAGAAGTAGGCGACGATGAGCTTCAAGTGGGGCGTTGGGTGCTGGAACAGCACCTTCTTGCAAACTTGGGTTGAGGGTTTAGGGTTTAGGCGATTTAGGGTTTTAGGCTTAAAGCTCTAAACCCTAAACCCTAAACCCTAAACCGTAAACCCTAAACCCTAAACCCTAAATCCCAAAGAGCGGCTTGAGGTCACCCGCTCGACCACGAAGAAGGGGCGACATCCAACCTTTAAATCCCCCCAAATACAGCAGAGACCCCCCTTGAGGACCCTAAACCCTAAACCCAAAAGGTAAGAGTGCTTGTTTTTGTTGTTGCTGCTTTGTTGCTGTTGCTGCCCGGGGCGTTCCTTTTTTGCTGTTGCTGCGGGGACCTGCGTTTTTGTTGTTGCTGCGGGGCGCGTATTCTTTTCTCTCTGTCGCTGTGGGGTGGGTGTTGGCGGTGATTTCTTTGCTGTTGCTGCGGGGCCCTGGCGCGTTCACTCACTGGCGGGTGGGGGGGGGGGGGGCCTATTTTTGCTGCTGTTGCTGCGCGGCGGGTTCTTTTTTTGCTGTTGCTGCGGGGCGCGGGCGTGATCACTCACTCAGTGGTGATTGGGTTCGAGGTTGGCTATAAGGTAGGCTCTGGGGCTTTGGGTTTCGAGTTTAGAGTCTTGGGCTGAGGGTTTAAGGTTAGGGTCTAGGGTCTGGGGTCTAGGGTCTAGGGTCTAGGGTCTAGGGTCTAGGGTTTAGGGTCTAGGGTCTAGGGTTTAGGGTTTAGGGTTCAGGGTGTAGGGTTTCGGGTTTAGGGTCTAGGGTTTAGGGTTTGAGGGTTTGGGGCTTAACGGTTTTCTAGGGGTTGTACCTTGGACCCTTAAGGCTGCACCTTTGGGTTTTGGGAACCTTTGAAATTAAACATCCTATGTAGTATAGGGGCCATATTCGGGGTATATTGGGGGGGGGGGACCTTTAGGGGTATGAGTCTTAATCTCTTGAGGTTTAGGGTCTTGGTGTTTGTGCGTTTCGTGGTTTAGGTCTCGGGAGGGCCCACAACGCCTGAAAACGCAGCGCCCTAAACTTGAGAGAAAAACACACCGAACTAAGCCTTAACACCTGAAACCCTAACTTTCACACCATTTAGTATTCATGTACTTCGTTTTAATTCATTTAATTCATTTAATTCATTTAATTCATTTAATTCATGTAACTCATGTAATTCATTTAATTCAGTTAATTCATTTAATTCATTTAATTCCTCAACCCTAAACCCTCAACCCTAAACATCTAAACCCTAAACCCTAAACCCTAAACCCTAGCCCTAAACCCTAAACCCTAAACCAGAAGGCTTCAAGCTGCCCCGACCCCCCCCCCCCCCCCCCCCCCCGCACCGTCCCCGGCCTTCTCCACCTCCACGGCTGGGAAGCCGCTTGCGGAGGCAAGGATGGCTATCTCCTGGAGGTCGGTGTGCCTGGTTTGGGGTTTAGGGTTTAGGGTTTTAGGGTTTAGGGTTTAGGGTTTAGGGTTTAGGGTTTAGGGTTTAGGGTTTAGGGTTTAGGGTTTAGGGTTTAGGGGTTAGGGTTTAGGGTTTAGGGTTTAGGGTTTAGGGTTTAGGGTTTAGGGTTTAGGGTTTAGGGTTTAGGGTTTAGGGTTTGGCGTTTAGGGTTTAGGGTTTAGGGTTTAGGGCTTAGGGCTGAGGGTTTAGGGCTTAGGGCTTAGGGGCATCTTCGGGGGTCTTGGAGAGGGGTCTTAGGGGGGGAACTGGTCCTGAAGAGAACCTAGGCCTTGCGTTTAGGGTTCCGGGTGCTTTGAGGGTATTCAGGGCTTAGGCCTTTGAGGGCATTTAGGCGGGGAATTTGGATGTTTAGGGTTTAGGGTACTTAACACGTGGTGAATAAGGACTTTTTGGTTTCAGGCTGTGGTTCGTGAATAGAGCTGTTAGTTGGGTGACATATACCTAAAGAAGGCGATGGTACAGTTACACCTTTCCTAGATTCGTAGGAAACTTGAAACATACATATATATATATACAGAAACCTTCAAGGTTTCAGTTTAGGGTTTGGGGCTTGATCTGTTTTTTTCCCGGGGTCCCTTTGTAGCAACACAGCCCCAAATAGCTAGGGCACGGATCATCTCGCCCATTATTTGCGGAAAACCCGGAGGCTCAGGCAATACCCTGTTTCACCACAGAGTTCAGGCACTTCAGCAAGACCCCACGGCCTACACCCCAATGTAGACCCTAAACCCTCAAGCCCAACTTCGAACCACCCTGCTCAAGAACAACCCTCAGCCCTAAACCCTGAACCCTAAACCCGAAACCCTAACCCCGAAACCTTAAACCCTAAACCCTAAACCCTGAACCCTAAACCCGAAACCCCAAACTCTAAAACCCTGCGCGCCTGGGAAGATAGAGCGCCACTCTCGGGCTCAACTTCGCGGCCGCGGAGAAGAGTCGCACGATGTCCGGTACCTAAAGTGGGGGGAAGCTCGGGTTTAGGTTTTAGGGTTCAGGGTTTAGGGTGAGGATTTAGGGTTTAGGGTTTAGGGTTTAGGGTTTAGGGTTTAGGGTTTAGGGTTTAGGGCTTAGGGCTTAGGGTTTAGGGTTTAGGGTCTAGGGTTTAGGGTCTAGGGTTAAGGGTTTAGGGTTTAGGGTTTGGAGGAGCCTTCTTCTTTTTGGTTCTTTCGTTGAGGGGGAGGGGGGGAGGTCCTCTTCAGGAGATTCTTCCAGCTTGTGGACCCGGATTGTTGGGAAATTTCTTAAGGCTCGTAGGCACGTGCACACCCTGGCTTCATGTCTTTGACCCTCAACCTCAAATGATAAACCCTGAATCATAGACCCCTAGAACCCTAAACCCTAAAACCCTAAATCAAAAACCCTACGCCCTAAACTCTAAACTCTAAGACCCTGAAACCCTAAACCCCAAGCCCTATGCTAAAACCCTAAACCCTAAGCCCCTAAACCCCACGTCTACTCCACCCCTGAACCTTTAGGGAGCCGAAGACCGCAACCCGAAACCCGAAACCCTCAACCCTAAACCCTCCTAAACCATAAAACCTAAACCCTAAACCCTAAACCCTAAACCCTAAACCCTGAACCCCAAGCCTCCACGTCGCGAAGGGAGAAGTGGTTCGACTCCAGGTGGCCCGGGCCACCCCAGGGCCTCTTGGGGTTTGGGGTTTAGGGTTTTAGGGTTTAGGGTTTAGGGTTTAGGATATAGGGTTTAGGGTTTAGGGTTTAGGGTTTAGGGTGTAGGGTGTAGGGTGTAGGGTTCAGGGTTTAGGGTTTAGGGTTTAGGGTTTAGGGTTTAGGGTTTAGGGCTTGGGGCTTAGGGTTTTGGGTTCAGGGTTTAGGGTTTAGGGTTTAGGGTTTAGGGTTTAGGGTTTAGGGTTTAGGGTTTAGGGTTTAGGGTTTCGGGTTTAGGGTCATCCCGAGCGCCCCGAAAGAACAGACCGGGTGTGGGAAACCCTGAACCCTTGACAAGGCGCTTTGTGAGCAACAAGCTGCTAACAGGTCGTCTTTGGCTCCTTCGGGTGTAGGGGCGTCGGGCTCAGGGGAGCTTTTGGTTTAGGGTGTTCTTCAGGGGCTAAACCCTAAACCCCAACCCTGAATCCGAAATCTTGAACCCCGAACCCTGAACCCCGAACCCTGAACCCTAAACCCTAAGATGCGAGTCGACCGGTCTTCTTGGAATCGGGAATGCCACTACGCAAGAACAGCTGCAGGATACCAAAGGTCACATAAAGACCAAGGGGTATACTAGGGGCTCTTAAGATACAGTACCCTCAATAC